GTGGAAGCAGGAGCTAGAATGCAGATCTTTCTTTCTTCCTTACAAATAGGAGAAAGCCCTTGGTTACAGTTTCCCCAGCTCTGAAATGCTCTTTGGGTTTCAGAAATGCTGACATCATGCGCTGTGAAAATATCCATTGGAAGGACTGTTACACAAAACTTTTAAACTGGTTGTTAGCGCTGGCCTATGAGAATCAGTGAAATGAGCTCAAACTCAAGTGGCAATGGAATCTGTGTTTCCCAAATCCTGCTTACATTAAGAGATCCTAAACCATGTCTTCTGCTTTGGGTCTGTGGGTAACACAGAGAAAGAAATAACTTGGCTGTGCTTCCTAGTGCTTCAACAAGAGCTGAGTGCCTTGTTGCAACCTTGTTGCTCTTCAGTGCAAACAAAACTTGGGCTACTCCAGAAACAGAGCTGTGCAGTTGCAAGGGGATTTGAGACCTACCCTGTCCCCCTTTTCTTCTGTAGGTTCAAATTTTCTTAGGCTGTCTTTTATCTAGCCAATCGTTAACATATCCAGAGCAGGTAGCTAGGTATGTGGATAATTTTAGTCTTAAAAAATGGGCACTTAAAGGCGGTTTATTCTCTTTGTGGATCTAACTCCTGAGTTGAGATTGCAATGCTGAAGGAGTTTTTATGAAGCTTTTCTGGTGAGGTGGGGAGAGCAGAGAGGAGCCACCTCAAGCGTTTAAGTGTATTTCTGAAGCTGCTCTGTACTCCCTGCAAGTCCTACCAAGAGATCACATACCAGCTGGGGACTGGCATAGCCAGCCTGCCTGTGCCTGTGCCATGTCTTCTCTTGGCTCTGTGCCTGCTGGGGAGCAGTTGTAGGAAGCTCCTGCCGAGAGCAAGCTGAGAGCTCTCACTCTCACCGCCAGCAGCAGATTTCGTCTGGCTAGATCCAGATGATGGAAGGTAATCTGTTGTATTCACTGCAGTTTTTGACTTCTCATCTGCTATTGAAGATTGTGTCAGTAGTTTTGCATCCCTAATTTGTAAGTGATTTGCACTCCAAGTTGTGAGAACAAATAATTCTGTGTGTAACTTAGAAAATGTGGCCTGTGGAGTCTATTTGCAGTAACCATATTAGTTAAATTACCAGTGTGATTAACTGTAAGAATGAGTGTGCTTTCATAAATACCAGAGCAATTATTTCTGGTAATTTATTCCACTCCTTACAATATGGCTACGAGAATCTGAGCTAGTGTTTTTCAAATAATATATTCCATATTTTGTTGGGGGACTTGAGAGAAATTTCTTTTTGCTAGGGCAATTAGCTTATACTAATTCAGAGAACATTTTCAATGTTCTTTATTAGAGTTTAGGAAATTATGAGTAAAATGATTTTGATTGTAGGTACTCAGCAACATAACAACAATGTACACTTCTATGCTCTCATTTCTGTGTATTTTCATTTGTTAAGATTAAAACAGCATGCATAACATGAGTGTATAAGTATATATACTTTAAGATTATAAAACCAACCCCCACTTTTACAGTGACACCAGTTAGATAGTTATTTCTGAGTGAGTGTTTCATTCCCAAGTTACATGTCTAGCTAGAGGTTAGTATTTCCTTAGTTGGGTTCATTCAGCTGTTTGCTTGTCTTGACAAATATCTTTTCCAAAATTATCTGTCTTGGAAGAAAAAGAATAACTTTAAATAATATTTTTTGTTTGTTCCTTTTGGTTTGGGTCCAGTATGGAATGCAGCCACGTGAGTAGTTGAATTAACACAAGAAAGGAGGTTTCAATTTCTGGGCAGGAATGAGGAAAACAGTTTGGCTTTAGTAGGGTGATGTGATCTTCAATCAGATGATCTACCAGCTACAGCTTGGAAGTATGGCACCAAAGACTATTTCTTTAAGCTGAGCAGCTACTTTGTGGTTTCATTGCTGCTTGAAACATTTTTTAATTTTTTTATGCTGAATTTATGAAACATAAATTATGGATGACACAAATACTATCTTTGCTTTTAAATTGTTTGAGGAATTGTAGGATTATTTTTGATTTATTAACATTTTTCCAGGGACAAATACATTGCTAGTATTGGAGGCAATCAAGTGGGGCTATTTCTCGTGTATTATTATGTATTAGTTTAGCCAAGTTTCATCTGAAAGAATATTCATGTCAAAAGCATTGGCTCAGGAGTCACACCACCCAGATCTGGTTCTTCTGTTAATTTATTCCAATGTGCCATTTTGCTGTTAAAATCTTCAATTCTTACTTCAAGAAGCATCAACATCATGATTCGGAGCTTTGTTGATAAAAGGTCAGATCTTTCTCTTTGGAGACCATTCGTGAGCACTGCCTGTTTCTGTTGAAAATTGGGAAATAGTTATTCACATAACCTCCTTTCAGCCCTCCTTAAATTCTATGTTAAGGTCAAAATAATTATGGTTTACCACTTGTATTTATACAAAAGTTGGATATACTACACATCTAATTTTCATGCTGTATCAAAGTTGTATCTTTGTGTGCCTGTTGTCTTGTGAACCAGACCACTTATTTCATTTAAAATGAATGTGGTAAGGTAAAACTGCTTTAAATTAAGGTTTAGAGGAGTGCTGTAAACATGTGTGTCTCTATGAAGGCTTGAATGGCAGTTGCACGAGTTATGCCTTGATTTCTCAGTAAATTGATGTGCAAATGGATATATTCATTATTTCATTCTGTTCTTCTACAATGAAGGCATACAGAAGAAGACTTACAATTCTAGTTCAGAAAAAAATCTGCCTTACAAATTAATAAAAGTTACCATATACTCCTCAAACATATATTTCTCCCAAAGTCCCAAATCTTTGAAAAATGTACAAAGATACTGAAGAATCATGCAAGATGGAGATGTTCTTTTAAATTTGCATAAGGGCTTCATGTTTATGATAATGAATTGAGAATGACCATCATTCAATGAGGCAGAATGAAAATGAATGCTTACTCATCAAAACAGTTCTTAGAACAGAGGAGTAATGTCCTGTGGGGCTTCAGAGTTGTATGCCTTTCATATGTTACTATGATGCAGTGTATTTTTTCTACAAAACTACAGCATGATATTTTCCTGGCAGTTTGTGGGAATATTTCTTTGAAATGAGTGCTTGTATTTTAGAACAACTCTGGACCACCGTTGTAAGTCAGCTGCCAGCTTTCATTAGTTAAATATAAATAATAAACCAGCAGGCACTTTGAATGGTGCAACCCAAAAGACATGAAATTGTTGATTTCTGACCTTCATTTTTTGTATGTGGTAGTAGCCTCATGCCTTTTTTATTTCTTACATCACCTTTTGCATTTCTTACATCAGGTATTGATGGGCATTTTTAGAAGTAATTTTGATGCAATAAAATTTATTTTTTCATTCTCCTGTGTACTGAATTCATTTGTGCAGCTGAAGTTCTAGGGAAAATTTTTTATTTATCTTATTATTACTATTTGTATGTACTGATTCAAAGTGATGGTCTTAAGGAATACGTAGAAGGCTTTTAATAAGCAATGTGGTTTGAACCACTCATGATACTGCTGTAGAAATGTCTCACTGCTGCTAAATATTGCAGTTATTAATCTTTCTTGACAAGAAGGCAATGGTTTTCAAGGTATTTTTGGTGTCTAGTTCCCACATCACTACATTTCCCATGTTCTTTATTGACCTACAGTTCCTCCTGACTGAGGAGCCTGGGAGACTTCAACCCACGCTGCAGCCTGTATGACAGTGACAATGAGTGCACACATGGAAATTGAGGTCCCTCTCCCATTCCCTGCCCGAGGGTGCAGATCCTCTTACTCTAAGCCAGTCCCTGTGCTCACACATTCTCCATGGGGTGTGATAGTCCTCATCCCAGGACAATCTCCTCCTTTTGCTCATTTCCTTTTACAAATCCCTAAAGCTTCACCATCCTCATGGGTCCAGAAGTTTTCTGACCTCTAGCAGATGACGAGGCAGAGAAGGTGTAAAGGGTACCAGATGCTACAAACAACTACACAAGGAAGTTGAGTCCATCAATATCCTAAGATATTGGATATTACTCTACCCTCATTGTATCAGTATTTAAGAATTGTTATTATTGTAGTGTTTCTAAACTTTTTTTCTCTTTTATAATGTCGGTATATTACAGATCACTGTGTTGCACTCAGAGGTGTATAGAACAGATTAAAAGAAATAAGTATGCAGAATTCCTTGCTCCGTTGCAGGGAACAGCATTTAAAATCAGGAATTACATGGAGTGGCTGTCTGATTCATGAAAGAAAAACTGAGGCTTCATTCCTACTCATTTCATCCAGTTGAGGTCTTGATCAAAATTCCTACACTAAAATGCTATTATATTGTTCGAGTATTTTTTCCCCTTGTCTGATACCCAGACATATGTCTTGTTGCTGGTTTTACAAGTAAAATTAAACTATGCAAATAAATAGAAAAATTTTTATTCTTGAAGGTGATAATGAGGTTTCTTATTGTGCATAAAAATACCGTATATTTTAAATATAAATTTAAATTTACAAGCTAGTGAATAGAGAAGAAAGAAAGCACGGGAAGGCTTCTTGATTTTTAGTTTACTATCTTCACTAATGGATATCTGTAACTTGATTTAGGAGGTAATGACCAAATGCTTTTAAAACAATAATCCATCTGAGTTAGAACATTTCTCTTCAGGTTTTGACATCATGGTAACATTTTAATTGAATTCCTAAGAGGGATTTATTCATCCAGGGAAAATATATTTTAAACACACTAGACTATGGATTGTTTAAATCTGGTTACCTCCGTGGGCAGACTCGTGTTGTCTGACCTTGGAAAGGCGGTGACAGAACTAAAATCCTGATCCTGTAAAGAGATTTATGATGCTGTTTCCCTGTTACTAAAAAACGGACACATTTAAATGGAAGTTTTGTTACAGGTCATTAGTTTGTGGCTCTGACTGTTTGTGCCACGTGGAGCAGGGGTGTGCACGGTTGCCCAGCTGCGACAGCACAGTGGCATGGGGGCTTCTCTTTTGTCTCCAACAGAAGCAGGGGGCAAGAAGCTGCGGAGCACCGTCCAGAGGAGCACGGAGACAGGGCTGGCCGTGGAGATGAGGAACTGGATGACTCGCCAGGCAAGCCGGGAGTCGACGGATGGGAGCATGAACAGCTACAGCTCTGAGGGAAAGTAAGCAGCATTTACAGCTGTGGGGCTCTCTCCATGAAGCTGGGGGACGTTTATCCATGAAACTGGTTGTTAGAGAGAAGCACAGTAAGTGCTGTGGGTCCTGTTCAGTCAGAATTCCTTTCACAAGCCAGCGTCATTGATGGACTAAGCCTAAGTCTCCCCCTGAGACTGAAGAGAGTCTCCCACTGTTGGTGCAGGAAGAAGGTGGATCATTTCTTTTAGGCCATAAGAAAGGCACATGGTGTGTCAGATCATCATCATGAGGTGTGTCAGGAGGGGAAGCAGGTGCAGTACACCAGGTAAAACACAGATATGGACAAAACTCCTGGCGTACATCAGTGATATGCAGAGCAAGGCATTTCCAGAGCACTTCCAGCGCACTGGGCTCAGGAGTTTTTGAAAGATTCTTTTACTTTAACCTGAAGAAATTATCTGGGCACAAGTACAAGTCTGTCATGTATCATGGTTATCATAGCATCATAAAAGCCCCAAGTTAAAAACTTCTGAGTGATATATGTGAGACATTGCCCAGAAAAGTCTTATTGAGGGTTGATTTATTAGTGATGTTCACAACAGTAGACAGTCCATCTATGCTGCACAATATATTTTATGTTTCCAAGCTAGCGCACTATATGCATTTGAAATGGACATTTCTTAATGATTGGTCATTACAAATTTCATTAGTTCTTGTTGCTCTGTAATGGGTCACAGATAATTTATGGCAAGCATTTTAATTTTAAGTTAGTTTGGTCATTTGCCACAAGGGATTTCAATTCTGTTATTGAATAAATGTCATTCTCAAAGACATTTTCAACAAAATATTTTGAATGAATGGCAATTTTGAAAATAGCAACCTGTATTTGGTCTAATGTCATCATTTCACTGTGTACATTTGATATTTAGCCATTGAATTCACAGTAACTGAGAAGTGTGGGCAATTTAACCTTCATGTAACTAAATCAGTGGTAAGGGTGTGCGTTAGTATCTTAATGAACTTGTCTCATATCAATACTTTGGTAATTAACAGTGGTCTTTAATCCATTAGAAAAGGAGAACATGATGGAATACAAATCTGGAAATTATTGAGGAGAGTGCTTTCTTTACCTGTTTGTTTATATGCTGGAGGCTAAATTGCTGCTTGTTGAACACTGTGGGATTTCAAAAATTACAGTAATTGTTTTGTAAGTTTCCTACAGTACTACCAAACCTACAAACATTAAGTGCAAAACATCTAGAAAACAAAAAACAAACCCAAGCCAAAACCAAACAAAAAACAAACAAATAAATGAAAAAACACAAACAGAGGGCAAATTTAAGTGTATTTTTGTTTGCTTTCTTTTCCAATATTATTTGTAGTTTGATATTCCCTGGTGTGAGGTTGGCTGCAGACAGCCAGTTCAGTGATTTTCTGGATGGACTTGGTCCCGCCCAGCTTGTAGGACGACAGACATTGGCAACCCCATCAATGGGTAAGTGTTTATGCCCTCTAGATATGACATATTCTATTTAGTCAGGTAATTAGAACATAAAGTTTGTCTAGAGTCCCTTTAAATATGGATTTCTTTTGTGGTTTTGAACAACTCAGTTAAGACCAAAGCTGTAACCTCAGCTAAAGTTGAATGTAATCATGGATGCTTATGAAGACATGCAAAAGTTGCTTTGAGAAGTTCAGCCTTTTACCTCTTCTTCAGTTTTCCATCTTTAAAATGGGGCTAATGGGACCAAACAGTTGTCTGAATCACTTGGATAATATTGTATAAAAATTGGTCATTTAGGTGCAAACTATTTGTTACTATTGTGTTTACAGACTTGTACATTCACAAGTTATATTTTCATAACTTGTCCTTAACTAGAGGCATCGTGAAGAGATTTCAGACAGTTTAACACAGCTGCATTGTATTAATTCCCTTGCTGCCTTTTTTTTAATATGAAACTCTTGGGAAATAGAAATTAATTTGAAGTAATAGAGGCATGGAAGATGGGAGAGAAGGGGTTATTGCAGAGGTTTTAAATTGTTTACCAACATAAACACCAGTGAAGATGGTAAATATTAAATTACATAGTAGTGTTAAAATCCAGATCATACTTACTGATGAAAAGCAGATTATACAAGTCACCACATATTCATCCTAGAAGTTTTTTCAACATTTTGTATATTAAAGTAGTTCTGAATTGCAATGTTGGGATTTCTTTTTGTTATCTAGGAGATATTCAGGTGGGAATGATGGATAAGAAAGGACAACTGGAAGTAGAAATAATCCGAGCCCGTGGCCTTGTTGTAAAACCAGGTTCAAAGACACTGCCAGGTAAGGAAGAAAAACCTTAGTAACAATCAGCACAGAGACAGGGGTTGGACTTGATGATCATATACTTGATCATCAATATACTTCCAACTCAGTATATTCTATGATTCTGAGAATAGCATTCTGCCAGAAAGGTCTGTGGCTTTTCTGTTCAGCTTTGCCAACCCTTAACAAGTCCAAATCTCAGTAGGTTATAGTGTTGTATACTGAAATGCATACTGTATTGAAATGATACACCAGAAATTAGCCCTACTTCAGGAGGAAATTAAGAATTAGGTTGCCAGAAGACCCAAAAGTATTGTTGGTAATAGCAAAGGCATCCTTCGTTATGGGATAGGAAGAAAAGTATATACTGAGGATTTTATATAGGAGTCTCAGGAATGAAGATGGGATCAAGAGACGTGGAATAGGTATCTACTCAAAAAGTAGACCAATATTTGATACTTACTCCTTATTTTATAATCTGATGTCCTGTAACACTATGTGGAGAGGACAATATAATGATATTTTTAGCAAGCTCTTCTGCCAAAATAGAAATTGTGTCAGAGTCCTTTCTTCACTGATTTTCACCTTGTAGGTAATTTAAAATTATTAACAATTTGGAGCATTGATCCAGATTTCACCAAAGTCATTGCAAGTCTTGCATTTACTTAATGGGCCTATTTTGCATATTGTACAGTTTAGAGATGCTATATATAGGAGTACTTGATTTGTTCAGGTCAAAATCTGAATTGTTTCATGGTAAAAGAGTCATACAAAAAGAAGTCAAGAAAAAATTAAACCCAAGGAGAACAGTAAAGAAAATGCGTGGAAGCTTTGTATGGGAATAATTGTTAATATTTCTTGTGGAGATTTGTTCTTACAAGTTATATATCCTTTAAAAGCAGATTTTATATGGTGATAGAAAGTGTGTGTGTTACACAAAAAAATCTGGACTTTTTTAACTTACTGTTCCCTGTTTTCATTTTTCTAAGCACCATACGTAAAGGTGTATCTATTAGAAAATGGAGTCTGCATAGCCAAAAAGAAAACAAAGGTAGCAAGAAAAACGCTGGAACCACTTTATCAGCAACTTCTATCCTTTGAAGAAAGTCCCCAGGGGAAAGTTTTACAGGTAATTTCCATAAATATTCCTCTGAACCTGAAAATGTCCCCTGTACAGTTTCACGGAATGAGTTTCAAATTTCTTTCAGGCTTTATTTGGCAATAAATGTTCACACTTTATTTACTTGCTGAGTAGATAAACACAACAGTAATAGCTGTTTATGCAAGTAGAGACTGGGTATGCAAGTAGAAGGGAGAAAATGTGAGTTATAGATTTATTTTGCTTCTTCTATATGTATGGGGCTTTTCCTGGTATCATGGGTAACTGTTGCTGGTACCCAGATCATTTCTGTCTCTGCATCATGATTAGGATACACAGATCTAAGCTATGGCAGCATAGTTTAGTTGGATATTTCAGTTATTCTGTTAGATATATCAGTTGGATATTTCATTCCTTACTGTAGTTAAATAAGCAGAGATTTTTGACAAATCAGATTAAAGCTTTTGACATTTTCACTAAAATTTTTCTATTTTCTTGTGTTTCTTTACCTAACAGATAATTGTTTGGGGAGACTATGGACGTATGGATCACAAATCCTTTATGGGAGTGGCACAGATACTTTTAGATGAACTGGACCTGTCCAACATGGTGATTGGGTGGTTCAAACTTTTCCCTCCTTCTTCCCTAGTAGACCCAACCTTAGCTCCTCTCACTAGAAGAGCTTCCCAATCATCTCTTGAAAGTTCAACAGGACCTTCTTACGCTCGCTCATAGCAGCTGTGAAACTGTTGTCATAGCAACCAGCGTTACAAAAAAATAAAATTACAGGTCGCAAACCCTGGTAACACTGCATGCTTAATGTTGTGTCTTCTGAGCCTGTTTCTAGGGCTGCAACGCGATCCTGTGTTCTCAAGGAAGTTGCACACATTGTGCCCTACAGAAGGCCCTCAGGTGATGGACTCAAATCATGAAGAACTGATAGGTTTGGAGTTCAGGGACTCAGTTTTGGTCCAATCTGAAGCCATGGACTAAACTAAAAAAAAAATCAATCTGTTTCATGCAACAAAAGTCCTTTTCAATGGCATATCTGTTTTGTTGCTCCCTTTTCTTTATTTATCTGCCCTCCCCTCCTAAAGTTTGGTTATGCCACAGAAACGGAGTTACCCTCCCATGGAGCCACGTTACAAGTCAGTGGATTAGCAGAGATTGAAGAAAAGAAACTAAGGATGCTGGAAAAGTCAACTGGCACTTGCAGCAGTTGCTTGAGATCTGAAAACTCTTCATATTGAAAAGGTTCAAGACTTAAAGTGGCAGGCTTCATACCTCCAGCTGTTCACACAGTGAAACCCCAGACATGATGGACTCTCTGAAAAATAAAGTTCTGTGGATATACTGTACTGTATGAAATTAAGAAACTTTTTTGCATGGACACAGATTTAGCTGAACACTTAAATTATTTTCTTGGGGCTGCAACTTGCAAAAAAAAAAAAAGAATAAATCAGCCATTTTCAACAGTTTATATTATTTTTAAAGATAAATTTCACTAGTGCATGGTTTTAAAGGGAAGAGAATGCAACAGGGTGATACAAAGACACACCACGTTTATCATTCTTTAAACCAGTCATGGTCTGTGTTTTTGCAGACTTCTATTAAAAATAAAAAAATAATTTCTAGCAAATATTTAAAATTCTGTTTATGTGACAAGAAATAAGTGTAATATATTAAATTTATTTAAATGTAAAAGGTACAAGCCTTGTAAAGTTCAACATAATGTGCAAATTGTACACTTCTTTTACCTCCTTCTTTCTCTATCTCTCCTCCCAGTCTCCCTTCTTCCTTTCGCTCTTTTCCCCCTCTACCTCCCAGGATGATCAGCATATTCTAAAATGGCTACCTTTTGACTTATTATTGTCTTATGCCCCATATTTGGTTCAGGGTTGCAGATTGTTCTGCATTTCTGAATTATTTGAGAAAAATATTGTTTAAGAGCTTACTTTTTTTCAAGCATGTTGAAAAGGATTTTGCAACATGGCTTGGGAGTACATTAATGTAATTCAGCATGTATTTGATAAAGAAGATATTTGAATTTTTGCAATTTATTGTACAGTGCATGGTAACTTATTTTCATTTTTTCTCACCTTCAAATTGAATTCTACAGCAAAATACTGGAATCATGTGGCCATTGTAAGATGTCTTCAATAAATTTGTGTTCAGCACCAGCATCTTTCATTCAAAGACTGAACTATTATTTCTTGAAGGTTTTTGGAAAGAGGAAAAATTAAGTACCTGATTGATTTTTAGGAAACAAATTTAAGTATTTTTATTTGCACTAAACCAAATTGATTGCTACATTTTTGAAATAACAGAAGCAACAAAGGTTACAAATCCATACAGTTCTTCTGCTGTAAAGTTCAATTTTCATAAATTACATTTGCGTTGCAAAAGACATAATTAGATAATATCAGTCTGGAAGGTATCAGTCTTTGGTTGGTAAAATAGCCTTAAAGAAAGCTTGTCAGTACTACTCTGTCAGCTATTTGACACCATTACCAGAACCTTGCTGCAGTTAATGGATCTTCAGAACCCTGGGCTTTGTAGCAGACAGTGACTACCATCGGGTGGTGCTGCAAGTTCAAGCTTCTCATGAAGTTTCGTTATTTAAAGGGAATGTAACTGGTTAATGTTTAATTACAAAATATCCTTTTCTTTTTTTTCTTTTTCCTGGGTCTTTGTATGCCTTTAATACCTACTTAAGGTTTAATATTGAAATCTTGCAATAATTTTTGAAGTATGTTACATTTACCTTTATGGCCACACAGAATTATTCTGATTTTATTTGAAAATCTGTTGAAGTTTCCCATTAACAAATTGTACATGCCTGGTAAGAGGGAAAAAGTAATAACAGTATCACTTATAATGCCTTTTACTTTGTGCAATATCATAGAAAATGAGATTGTGTCTTGTCTGCAGAGTTTATATAATGGATTATTGTTAAGTTAATAGACAGACTGGTAAAATTATATTTATTGAAATAATTTAGACACCTGTCGACCAGCAGCAAATAAATACTACTAACATGCAGTCTACAATATCCCCTAGGATATTAAACAAAAATACATAACCATTTTCCTGACACTGTGAGATGTGCTCACACATTCTTGTATGCATAGTCCTCTATAAATTATTTCAAATTTTAAAATCAAGGACATGACGCATGGAAGGTTTGTACATAATTGTCATTATGCAGTATTTATTTTAAAAAAATTAATGTTTTTTTTTAATTTTCACACGTCTGCAATTCTACTTATGGTTTAGTCATGTAAATAGTACTATTCCAGTGATCACTGCTGTCTTGTAAATAGTACGTTTTAAAAAGTTAAAAGGAATTACAGTTGGGGAAAAAAAAGGGCAGATTAGGCCTGTAATGAACACCAACTAATGTAAATCAAACTCATTCTGGTGATGGTATTTAACACTTTAAATAAAACATTTTCTTTACAGAATTTGTGTGCAGAATTTTGTTGCTTTTCTCTGAGGTGGTCAGCAGCATCCTTCCACATCCTTCAGTGGAGCTGGTGCACGCAGCTCACGCAGCTGGAGAGCAAGCATCTTTTTCTTCTCCCACAGGGCTGCAGGTGAAATGCCAGTGCCAAGGTGCCACTGTCGCTGCCAGGCTCGGGAGCAGTGTCAGCCAGCTGTGCCTGTCACCAGCCAGGCCCTGGGCTCTGTGTCCGGCCACCCTCAGGCTCCCACGTGCCCAGTGCACGGCTCCCAGGATGGAGCTGGCTCCCAGTTGCCAGCTCTGGCTGCCAGGATGTGCTCCAGCTCTGATATAACCAGCACTAAATGTGCTGAGACCGTGAGGAGGAGCCATCAGCTGCTGTGGAGTGGCTGCACCATCCAGTTGGACTTCCACCCTGCCCCTAGATACCACCTAATATTAGCTGCCTTTTTTCTTCATGAGCAGGGTACAAATGAGGACAGAATGCCCACCTGACAGTGGTGCCTGCAAGGGCTCATGCAGCCTCTGCAGAAGCGAGCAATGGTCCAAGACCTCTACAGCCATTAGAGGGGTGGGTGGAGATGGAAGAGTAGAGGATTAATCTCTACCTGACCCCTCAGAGGCAGCATCAGCACAGGCAGTGGTGACTGGGCAAATCTTGGCCACTTATTGCTTGGAAATTTACTGAACAGTGAGAGGCTGGCTGGCAGTTTGCACAGCAAAGTGTGTGTATTTATTTCCAGATATGAGGTGAAAGAAAAGCACTGCACTACTGTCATGAGACAAAACCACCAAAAAAGCAAGCAAAGGTATTTTGGGCCGAGAGCAGTTGTGGGAACTGTGAAGATAGGAACTGCATTTGTTGCACTGCATCTGCAAGTAGGTTGCTGGAGGAGTAGCAGGTTTCTGGTGTGTTAAAACACTAATACCCCAGCAGGTCCCTCTTCTGCTGATGCTGACATTGCTGTGGCACGCATGTCAGGCAAGTCTCTGGGTGGGAACTGGACTATGGGGGCAGGTGAGACTGCCCCATGCCCAGGAGCACATCACTTCCAGCCCTGTGGTGAGGTGGGCAGCAAAACACCTCCTCCCACATCTGAACATGAGACTGTGTCTGTCTTTGGCACTTGTTAGAAATGTACACCATTACACTCAGCTAATCCTTGAAAAGGCCCTTTGTACAGACCAAGAAAGCTACAACATATACTTTTCTAAAGGGTCCTATTCTCTGAGACAATTTCTCAAGATTGTTTGCTGTTTATCCTCTCCAATTTGTTTTTGTCTATGCTCACTTAATTTTAGAGCAAACAAAACTAGATCATTTAAATATTAACAGTACTACCTTACTCATGACTACTAAACTTTGGCTCAGATGGCTGATTCATCTGGTTATGCTGAGAAGAGTTTGTGCCAATAAAAAATGCAGTATAATACCATGGTGCCCTGTGGGGCTTTTCTGTTTCCATATCTTTACTTCAGATTTACAAGGCTTAAGTAGCATGATGGCATAGTAGTATTACATCAGGCACCATGTTGAGGGTGCCAGCACCTCCTAACCAGCACACCATTGCATTCTCACAGTTTCCCACTACTATCAAATATCTGTTCACAATTGTATAATACTTAAAATGTAATAGTTTTTATAGAGAGGCTTAATATGGCATAAAAGATAACAAAGCCACAAAGTTAGATAATGCTGTGTGGGAGTCTAGAACAGATTGTATTTCTTCCCTTGGCACATTTCTGTGCAATTCTCACCTCTCTGATACCCAAGCAGCAAAGAACAGACACCACAGCTGTAGATATCACAATCATCTTCCAGCTGTGACTCTCCTCTCTGTCCCTTCCTTGGTAAGTATTTACAGCAATGCTTCACCAGGAGCAAGCAGCAATGCAAGAAAGATACATGTGTCCAGCAAAGAATGGTTCACCTTCAAAGGACAGGTTTATGGAACCTAGCTTAGCTGGAAAGAAAAAAATAATACAGCTATCTGTTACTAATACTAAAGATAAATTAACTTCTGGCATTATTTACTTAATACCTGCCTATATTTGATGTCTTGTTTAGGATAGAATGAGTCACGCTGGGGACATCAGATTCTCTCCTCTCTCCATTGGCCACAGAAGCAGAAAGTGATGACTGGCTTGTGTTGAATTTCTACCTTCACAGCATCTGTGCTTAGGAGAAGCAGATCCAGGCATAGTAGCCAGAAATAAGAATCAGGATTCCATAGTCCTTCAGTAGCAAGACCTATCTGAACTGCCTGTATAATTATCAGAACTGAAGGCAGCAGACAGCCAATAACTGATGAAGGAAGAAATGGGTGTGAATTAATTTCCCAGATCTGACACACTGTCATGTCAGGTCACTCCTCAGCTTGGCCTCAGAGAGAAAGAGAAGCAGCCATACTAATTAAACCACAGAGCACTGACACCCTAAAATATGCCATGAGGTCACATGGAGAAGAAACAGCATCCTAGATCTGCAGAGGGTACAGGGCATGGGACTAAGGAAAAATTTGTGATAAATGCTTGTCTGCTGTGACTATTCCTGTAACCAAGAACAGTTTATCAACAGTTATCCAAAATGTAGATATAATGGAAGTGATGTTGGCATGAAGATGGAATAGATGAGTGGTGCTGGATTCCATTAATTTTATAGACATGGAGGTTTAGGCTACCTTACTGAGGTGGGAGCAGGTTTGGCACTGGTAGAGTGTTTCAAGCGCAAGACTCATGAGCACTGGCTGAAGTCACTTGGCTTTTTTAGCTTGGAGAAGGGTAAGGAGTGACTCCACCACAGTCTAAAGCTTCCTCCTGGGGGCCAGTGGAGGGGGAGTTGCTGATCTCCTCTTTGGGGAGCAGTGATAGGACATGGGAAATGGAATGGAGCTGCCTTGGTCTAAGTTCAAATTGAACATTAGGGAAAGGTTTTCAACCAGAGGGTGGTTGCTCACTGGAACAAGCTCTCCATGGAAGCAGTCATGAGATCAAGGTGTCTGGAGGATGTTCTTAGTCACCTGGTTTAGGTAGTCCTGTGAAAAGCAGGAAGTTGGACTCAATGCTCCTTAGGGATCCCTTCCAACACAAGATATTCCATGATTTCTTTGAACAGGTGGGCTCATGTAAGAGTCGTTTGTCAAAGTCCTTCTAGCTACAGTTTTGGTAAAGGAATTATGCATGTTTTAAAGATTATATTAAGGTGATACCATTCACTTAAATGAAAACAAACCAAAACACCACAACTTGCTAGGCCAAAACTCAACAAGTAAGTCCTGCTATGCTGATATTGCAACTGACACATGAAGAAAAGGGCCAGTACTACCTTTGCCAGTGCATGTTAGCCTAGTTTGAATACCAATAGCAGCCAAAATTATTGATTTTTTCTCATCCTCTTGATAAGAATTAAAAGAGATTTAGGTAATACTGAAGGATTAAATAGTGATGTGAAATTATCAAAATAGCAGGTACTTTATTGATATTTATTCTGATTCCCCACCTTTTGTTTCTCTTTTATTGGTATTTTTGCTGCAACTTTCCTGAATACTGGCAAGACAGATCCCTGAAGATGAGGAAGAGTCATTTATATCAGGCATCTTCTCTCAGGGACCAGCACACTGTGAGTTCTGCTGTTTGGGAAGAAACTAAATTAAGAAGCTTGAAGACTTTTGAAGTTTCTTCTTACGGTCTCTCACACATTGGAAATGACACAAAAAATTTCTTTATCTAACAGTTTCTCAGCCCATATTCTGATTCCGTACCAAATTCTGAGCTGTGATTTGGTGTTTTGGAATCTGTTCTCAAGAACTGCTTACTCTCAGATCTGCTAACCTGGCCTTCCAGACGCCTTAGTTACCATCTGCCACTTGCCTGAGGTGTCAGTGCACACAGTTACACAACCTCATGCACCAACAAATGAGTCCTGTCCTTCACTGTGTTTTGGCTGTACAAACACTGTTTTGGCTCAACAATCTGGAAGCCAGCAGATCTGGCTCTCTAGGAACAGCCCTGGGGTAGGATGGCACTTCACCAACAGACGATTTATTCTTCACTAACAAAATTACAACTTGGAGAATTGACATTTTTTATATATCTTGATGCACTTTGGCCATTGAAATAAAGTGAAAGCTAAGAAGGGTGGATCTCAGAGTGAGCCAAGAATCATTTGGGTAACATGAAGGGAAAAAGTCCACTTAAATCTCTTAAAATGCAACCACATTTCTAAGTTGTCCCCTAAACACAAATCACATGATAGACAAAGAAATGTTGAATCCCCATTCATACAGAGGTGACATATTCCTGTCAGCACCTTAAAATATCTTAAACAAAACAAAACAAAGCAAAACAAAGTTGTCACAGTTGAGCTCTGAAAGTTTCATTAAGATGAAAAACTAAGGAAAATGAACACAAGAATCCTCATTTTGAATTGCTGTGAATTCTTCTCGTTTCTAATCCAGGATTTCTTGTTTTCAATTAGCATGGTATCAATAAAAATCGCAGCATCTGTGCAGCTGTTGAACTAGTTTCTTTAGTTATACATGTTTAACTAAGAACATATTTTTATACTGTTTTCTTTCCCTGTTTAGGCACAGTTTTTATTTCCTTGTTTTCTTCAAGAAGGATCCAGAGCCAAGTGCTTCCTTGTGACTTTTTCACATCTCATGCATATCTGATACTTAAAATATGAGCAGGTGCCTCAGGCAACAGATTCAGAATGCAGTTTTCTTACACCCTCAGCAGCTTTTCTTTCCTAACCAGTGTTGAGTTACAAACTTAGTTGTGACAGCTGGGTGTCAATATCAAGCCACTGTTACAGTCCAAGATGGATACTCAGGCTGTGTTCAGACATCTAATTTAGGTGAAATTCAGAGGGCCAAAATTAATAATCTATTTAATTGCACTTAATGAAAAGAGACAGGAGAACCTCCATGATAACTCTAATTTAGGATCTTCTGGAAAGCCATTTTGAACACTTTTCACTGTCAGCTGCATATGAAGTCT